TCACCACGACAAGGTGGCGCACAACGAGAGGGCCCCTCCTCCCTCCCCCCTCTCCCTCCATCCCTCTCTCTCCCTTTCTCTTATCCCCCTCTCTCTATTTATGTACTATACACATTATTACGCATTTTATCAAATTTAAACTATAATTATTTTTGAGTTTTTGGATCTGAAGTTAGAGTTTGGACGGTTCAAACTATTCGAATGTACCTTCAGCTCAAGTTTTGCGAAGGATTCAAACTATTTGACATTCGATCTTGAAATTTAGATTACCCAAACTGATCAATGATCTGAAATTTTCATGCACTAATTTTTTCTACATCAGCGATATTATGTTTTACTTGTTTTTTTTATTTTTAACATTGTACTTTTATATTTTTTTTTTTTTATATTTCTTGACTCTGAATATCGCAAAGTATTTTAAAAATGCACAGGCGAGTAATCCAACATAATTTTATTCGCAGCCAGATTTTGTCACTTTATATGGATTGTAACTTTTGCAAATATTGTATTTCTCTTATCTTGTTTGCTATAAATCCGGCATGATTGAAAGTTAATAGAATAATAATAATCTTTTTTTTCTGTATCATACATTTTCCAGCTAAATAAACGGTGGATTATTTAATTTTGTTTTTGTTTCTAAAATTGTTTTATTTGGAAAAATATATAAAAACTGTGAACTTAAAGCTAGAAATTGCCATCCAAAATTTCACAGATATTTCGGAGTTGAATGTAATTATAATATATTATGTAATTAAATCTAAATGTGTTATATGTTTACACACGTTGTTTGCCACTAATGACGACATCGATGATGTGATATTCAATAATTCCATTGTAATTGGAATGGTTATTATTACAATTAAATAATACAACTCAGCATTGTTTGCCATTCTGTAACTTATCGATTTATACGGATTGTCGTTAATGACGACGGAAAATTCAATTAATGCTTAATTCTCAAGAAGCGAACGAAACATCTACCATTATATTTAAGAGGAAATATGTGGTATTTTGAATGATTTTGATGATGTACTTCGAAATGTTCTGACTACTATTTAATATCGACGCAGTGTGGATCGCGTGTTTGCGTTCACACGGCTACATATGCGGCCGATCTCATCGATTCGTCATGATCGAACGGCGGAGAAGAGATGGGAGGGGGGAGGTGGCATATATTCTCGTGGCTGCGAAAATGCCTCGTTGATTAAATCTATTTTGGGTAATCGACAATATATGAATAATGGTATGCTCGTAAGAGATGTTCATGTCGGGTCTAGCGAGAAAATACGAGCTTATCGGGATATAATAGCACGATCGGGTGCGGAACTTTCTCAGTATTTCATTGACACGTTTACTGTTACCCCAGGCAAGAGTTTGCCTATGGAGCAAATTAGGTGATCACCTTCTTCACCATAAATATTCGAAGTAAGAAATTTTTCTTATTATTAATATAGCATGTGTATTCTCTGTCAAACAGCACATTTTTATACAAAAATGATAGAAAGAAATAGCAGAAAGTTTGTATTGTAAAAAATATTTAATGCAAAAATAGTTAATTAAAGAAACTAAATATTTGATTAAAATATGCCCAACACCAAACTATTTAGTTGTTTTAAACAAATTTTTTTGTTATCAACATTTTTTTACAATCAAATGTTTAACTAAATCTTTTATAATATAAAACAAAATATTTGGTTGCTAGAAACAAAAAGCCTCAACAATTTTGTTAAAAACACTAAATTTTTTTTTCCTATTGTAGGTGTGCACAATTGCCGATGTTGATATTTAGTCGTTAGATGAAACAATGATGAGTGACATTCTTATAATTTGAAAATATAAAACAATTTAAAATTATATTATAATATTTATGATATTAAAGCAGCTATTATTTAGCAAAATAATGAATACTAACAATAAAAGCTATCTGAAACTATCTTTAAAAAAAAGAAATTTATTTCTGCTAATTAATTTTTTGTGACATAAAATAAATGTTATTTATTAACTGATTATTAAACATTTAATATATGTAAAAGCAGAGTTGGGAAGTAACTCATTACTTGTAACGCCAGTTACAGTTATTTTTTTTTAATATTGGAACTTTTTAGTAACTTAACTTATTGTTACATTTTTTGCATCATGAGTAAAAAATTTAACAGTTATTTTTATCATTACATTATGCAATATTTCAAACAATAAGGAAAATCATATAAATCATTATAAATGAACAAATTCTTGGCAACTGACTGAATTTTTTATATAACAGATAGAAATAGAATAAATAGAATTATATATTTCAAACCTCTATTACATTAGCATAATGTCTACGCATCTAATGACTGCGAATGAAAGCGTTACATGTAGTAAAAAGAGACGCGATAGTTGATTAGCTATTTCATTAAATAACATCTTAGCGGGAGATGATAGACTATTGCATGAGCCACATATTATTCTTTTTTACTTTGTAATTAAAATATTTTAATAAAAAAATATTAGAAGTGTAAAACTTGTATTTTTAACATAACATTGCATTCATTACAAAAAAATGTAACAGAAAAGTAACGACTCGTTACTTTTTAAAGAAAGGAACAATAACGAGTTACTTTTATAAAGAAACTTTCCTAATACTGTGTAAAAGTATGTAAGACAGTTTTTATTTGCATTTTTATGTGTATACGCACTCGAATGTGAGTTAACCTACACGTTTGACGAGTTGCAGTACACTTCCATACATACACATTGATTGAAGTGCATAGGAACGTCGAATGTACCTACGTTCTGAACTCAGATGGCATGTAAGCTGTAAGCTGATAGTTCCTAACATCCAGGATCATTATCAGGTACGTCCAGGTGATGACGTCTATATATGTATATCAACGAGCGCGTGGTAAGGATGCAAATACTACTCTCGGATCAATAGATATCGATTTTAAACTGGGAACGATTAGAACTCTATCTTTATGCAACAAGAATCTGTTCTGTTTTAAAAACTACAATCTATGAATACAATTCTATTTCAAGAATACAATTAATATTAAGATATTGCTCTTCCTTATTAAAATAATAATCATGTTAACAACAAGCTAATAGAGCAGGAGCCGGTAAGAGTTGCTCAAAAGTTCATTTTATTAAAAATTATTACAAACATTTTGGCCTAAGGGATGTGGCCATCTTCAGTGTAGCATTAACATAAATACTGTGGTCGTAAGTAGAGAAGCGTTGAAAAGACATTTAAGATAGAAACGCTCTCGAACAACCTAAATCTTTACCTAAATCATAACCATTGTTCAAGAGCGTTTCTATCTTAAATATCTTTTCAACGCTTCTCTACTTACTACCACAGTATTTATGTTAATGCTACACTAAAGATGGCCACATCCCTTTGACCGAAACGTTTGTAATAATTTTTAATAAAATGAACTTTTGAACAACTCTATCCGGCTCCTGCTCTATTAGCTTGTTGTTAACACGAATTCTATTTCAATTATTATTAAACTTTGCAACCAAATTGTTAATAATTTTGATAAATTAAAGCTGTTTTACATTATATTTTTAGTTACATATATTTTTGTTTAGTATATCTGTTCAAACTAAAACCCGAATTCTAATGATTATATTATTTGTTACAAGTTTATTATAATAATAACTTAATGTTAAATAAATAAGTATTTTCCGATCTCATTATGGATTGAAAAACAATGCTAATATCTTTTTGTATTCTAATCCTTTTTGTGTCATTTTCTATTGTCCTTGCACAGCTATTGTTCTTGCTATAAGACAATTTTTCTGATCTATCAGCTATTGATACTTCGCAGACGCTTTATCGACACACACTTGCACCAGTGTTTGTGCCTCCCACTTTTATTTGACAGCTGTCACCAAGTCTAGACCGCAGATATGCGATTCTGCTTGATGTAAGGTTTTATTTCAGTTCGCGTAGACCAATGGTTTAATCTCTCTAGTCTGATCTCGGCTCGCGAAGAACTTTGCTTGCGAAATTCTCTATGGTATATAGTACTATGAAGTAAATAATTTTCCATCACAGTTGACCTTTAACTATAG